AAAAAATAAGAACCAAGATGCATCATGTAAAGGTACAAATTCCCAATGAGAAATGTGATTGTGTTGTATACCTACAATGTACCAATAAAAGAATTTAATACCAAAAAAAGTAAAGAAGAAGTAAGAATACACATACAAGATATATCATGTACAGGTACAAGTTCCCTGTGATGAATGTTATCATTATGTATATATAAAATGTAGCAATAAAGGTTTTGCTTTAAAAATGGTAAGAATGCAGCATGGACTGGTGTCTCGCCATTCATAAAGTATGTGTGTTTGTGTCACCAATCTCACAGGTCGCCGTCAGAAGCCTTCCCTCGGCTGGATCCTCCACCTCCCGTTACCAAGAAGCGAACCCCTCGAGCCCTGAAGACCACCCAGGACATGCTGATTTCTTCGCAGCCTGTCCTAAGCAGCCTGGAGTATGGGACTGAGATGTCCCCTGGGCAGCCCCAGGACTCTCCTCCCACTGCCCAGCCTGTCTCAGCAGATGCTTCACCACCGGAGGCCATCGTGGAAATGGGAAATAGGGGTGAAACCCTGGCCAATGGAGAGGTATCCCTGTCCATACCTGACCTGATCCACAAGGACAGCCAAGATGAGTCCAAACTAAAGGCGACTGAGCAGAGAAGAGCCTCATCCCCTGGCCTCACGGAGAGGAATGGCCTCACACTCAGCCTGAGCCCCATCAGCCTGGATGAGTCCTGGGAACACGGCAACCCCCATCCTCGAGCACGGACCTCCAGCGTTGATAATGAGGGCCCTCACCCAGACCTGCTGTCCTTTGAGTAGACCCTCTTCTACTCCCTGCCAAGCATATCTCTTCCTCCTGCTTTCTCCTCCACTGTGCACATGGGCCCTTGCCCCAGCTCCACTACGCCCTTTGTCTTCCTTGCACAAGATTCAGCAGGGAGCCAACTGCACACATGGAGTCAGGAGTCCTCAAGTCATCCCAGTTAAGGAATCTTTCTGAAGAATGGCAAAAGAACTTGGGTGCCATCCCTGATCCTAATTTCCTATAAGCTCCCTGGGTGTTAGCTGCAGCCTTTGGATCCTGGAGGTTGTCCTAGCTCCCCACGGGATTGCAGGGTCACCAGCCCAGGATGATAGATCTTGCAGGGATCCTTTTTCCCATCTCCTATATGCTGTCTGCTCTTCCTCTCTCCCATTTCCTGGTTCCTTCTCTCTCCAGAGAGAGAGGCCCTCTGCCTCGGGGAGAACAAGGCTGGGTAAGGAATGATGGTTTGGCTTGATGGGGCCTGGCCTAGAAAGCCACACACCCTGACCACAGCCCAGCCATGACTCCCCCTGCTCTCAAGACAGTGTGGGTCCCTGGTTACCATCTTTCCTGTGCTCCTGGGGCGGGGCCAGATGAGGCGCTTACCGGGCCTGAGACCTTGTAGGGTTACCCCAGGATTGAACCCTGTTGCCTAGGGTTATCAAAAGTTTTCCCCATTCAGTCAGATATTAGAATATAGAGTGAAGTCCTTGCCTGTCTTGGAGAAGCACTTGGGAAAGAGTTGTGTCTGAGCTGGGGCTCCATGCACAGAAAGATGAACAGGCTGTCTTTGCTGTGTATAAAGACAGGGCAAGGCAGGCCAGCAGAAACAGCAGAGCATGTTCTAGTTTTGTTCTGAGAGGAGAGCCCAGGAACTTGGGAGTAGGCCTAAGAGGACCAAGAGAGGACATGGTAGAGAAAAGAGTGAAGCCAGGACGTAGAAGGTGTCACTGGGGATGAGAGAGGCTTTCCATGGTCACCCCCAGCCCAGAATGAGGCCGTGCAGAGCTTGGGTAAGTGCAAGAGCCAGGGTGAAGCATGTGAGAGATTGGGATGTGATGAGAACTGTGATGTTAAACTGCTTTTAATCCAGTGGCAGGTGCTCTAGGGCTTGTGCTAAAGTTGTTGAGTCCCCTACAGTGGTGGGCACCCCTGGAGGGGACTCTGCCTTGTACCTCCCTTATCCTGATGCCCATGGTCCTCCTCTGTGCCTGCTTTCAGTACCTGGGTAAGGGGCTAACAGGGTTCATCCAACCTTACTTAGCTGGTTCCTATCCTCCTGGGTTAACCTTTGTGTTCCTGTCTCCACCAGGGGGCATATCATGTTGTCTTCCTGTGGCCAGGAGATGCCGAAGTGATCCCAGCCAAGCGGGCTTTTGAGGAAGAGGAGAATATCTCTTTCTTGAACAAAGTGGCCAGTGCTCAGGAGAAGGCTGGGACTGGCACAGCTGCCCAGGTCAGGCTCTTCCAGCAGTCCTCCTCCTGTGATTCCTGCAGTCCCATATCTATTCATTGTGTGGCTTTCCACCCATGAGCTGTGGGACACCCAGGACTCACTTCCCAATTCAGCACTGAGCTTCTGCTTCCCTTCCTTCTACCTCTGCCATACAGAACATCCATGCCAACTCCTCCAGAACTGGGAGCCTCAGCGGGATCACTGGGATGTGGGTACCTTCCTGCATTCTTGCTTCTGCAGCTGTGTGACCTCGGCTTCACCCTCCTACCCCCTACTCTTCTCGCCCCAGCAGGTAGGGGTGTGCCACATACTCCCTGCAAAGTCCTGTCCTTTCCCCACTCACGACGGTCCATGCAGCCAGGCACCTACAGGCCCTGGTGGAGTGAGCGGGGCTGAGAGCACATGGGTACATCCTGCCTTACTCCAAGAACATCCTAAGCATATGATATCTGGCCATGAGGTTGTAGAGAAGTTCTTAGGACTAGCGTTTGGGGTTCTGTGAGGTTTCCTGGAACAGTTTGGGGCTTTACCCAAAATAGAATTGGGGATATAGGGGCAGAGACATTAAACAAGCATCAGGGAACAAGCCCAGTTTCACTTAATCTCTGTACCAAATGCTTGGTTTGCTCCTCATATGGGAAACTACAGGTCTTTGACCTTGGGCTGATCCTCCCCGAAGACCAGGTGATATGGTAGCCAGAGGGTTGTTAGTGCTGGCTCCAGCTTGCTAAATGGCTGTCTCCATGCCACAGCCAGCCTGCTCCTAGAGTGCCGGCCCTCAGGCCCAGATTAGCCAAAGCATCTCATCAGGTTGTCCCAGGATCATTGCTAGGTTTACCCAGAGTTCTTCAGACTCATGTCTGAACTGAGTAAGGTACACAAGCCCGTGTGCCAGCCTCTAACTGCTTATAGCTTGGCCATCCACCTGCTGTGTGGGTGACACTGCTGCCTTGGGAGACCCTCTAACACTGAGCCTGGTCTTAGATGCTGCATATGTTACCTGGTTCTAGGGAATAAGTGTCCAGGGCACAGTGGGAACAATTTCTACAAATTCTGCTGAGTACCTCAGCTCAGACCAATTCTTCCATCCAAAGCCCAAGAGGAGCTGTGTCTGATTTTCTTGTGGTTACTGCATGGCCACCCCGCTCCACACATCCTGCATAGCAAGGCCAGCTTCCTTTGAGAGCCTGGCCTTTGGGTAGCTCTGTCCACAGGAGGCCAAGGTAATGAGGAATGAAGAGTCCATCATCTATGTCCACAGAAGGAAGTTGAAGCCTTGGAGTCTCTTCTTTCCCCTTACTCCTCAAGCTCACCATGAGTCCTTACTCATCCCATAGCTCTACCCTGATAGGTTACAAGGTGAGCTTCCAGAACCTGGCAGGAGTATGGTTGCCCCTCACCCCTGAACAGAGAAACATATCTGAGCGTTCTCTGTGTGGGTGATAGGAAGAAAGGTGTTTGCAATTCACTGGCTTTTAGAGAACAAATTTGGCCCCAGGTTGGAAGAGGAAGAAGTTAACAGATTTATTCTGAGTATTTTTTAGAGATTTCATATTTATATTTTTAGAGATTTTTCTGGTAGAAGGAAATTGCACAATAAAATGATTTGGTTTGGTTTGCTGGCTTTGGTTTTTCTCTTCCTGACTGATGGGAAGTCTTGCTTTCCTCAAAGCTGGGTGGAGAGCATTGGCATTTTGCTTTGTGAGCCTGGAAGAGTGAGAATAAGGGAAGTAGAAATGTGAGGCAGATGAATATTGCTGACAAACCTCCAACCTGAGACCTTTGTGGGGGACATGCAGTTTCTCAGGATATGCCATCATTGTTCCCCTGACTGGCTCATACCGTGAGAGTGTCCCCAGTTTTGGCTGGCTTGGGGTATGAACATGATGTGCACAGGTAAGTTCCTCTCTAGGAGGAAATACAAATGACTGTTGGATCATCTTCTAGGCCACTGGTTCTCAGCTTAGGGTTCACAGTCTCTTTGCACCAGGAAAGAGATGGAGCTGTTTATCCATGTGTGTACTTTCTTTCCAAGAGGGACCAGAGCTCAAAAGGGTCATCATCAGTAAACAGCAAAATACCCAGAACTGCAGACTTAGTCACTGCTGAGAAATTGCTCCCAAGGGCCACCTGAACTGGGATGGCCTTGATGTTCACTTGGTGAGAGCAAGCCGCTTAGACAAAAGCTAAGCTGATGCCTCTTTGCTCCTTTGTGAGTCTTTGGCCTGTCAGATCCAAGGACAAGAGGACTCACACTAGAGAAGGGGCCAGACCTTTAACTTCCTTAAAAAGGAGGAAATGGAGAAGAAACAGAAAGGAAAAGGGACCTTTAGTCTGTTCACAAAGCCACACACATTTCCAAAGGAGGGAAGATGAATCCTTTCTGCCCAACTTTCTCATTTGCCTCCATGACTACATCAGGGGCAGATTCTACCATCTGGCACTTGGGGTCCCTCTGACTCCATGGCAGGAGTGTCTATGGTGTGAGACAAAGTCTGCAGTCTTTTCTGCATCAATTCCACTCCTACACTTGGTTTCTCAGAGGAGGTATGAGAAGCGAAAAACTGGGCCTTCCAAGTATGCCCACTTTTCCCGCAGTAGGGTGCAACATATTGTTCTGGGGAGCTGGAGAAACACAGAAACAAACCCAACGTATCCCACGCATGGCCAAAGGCATTGAAAATACTTACAATAGCAACGTTTTTCTTTGAGTCCATGCTCCAGTGACTGTTCTTCAAGCGACCTTTCCTATTGGATGACTTCAGGATTTGCTTCTGTGGTCATTCAGGTGTGAAATGTACCTCTAACATGCCTTCCATTCTCACTATTATGCAAAGTTGTAATTTTTGGTTAAAACCAAGTATGTAAAGCTGTAGTGAAAAAGGAAAATTGAAAGTCTAAAAGTGGATTTGCATATGTCACACTTTCCACACTATGCTCTAACCTGAGCCATTGGTCTAGAAGCTGAGGGACAATGATAAATTTATTCAGACAGTATATCCAAATTCCAGCCTTTGGTGAGCTAAGTGCTGTCCAGAGCATTGAGGTGACACTGGTGATGGTGAAGATGCCATCAGAGCTCCCCTTTGTGCTCATAAGGTGTGTTAAAAGGCAGCAGAAGTACCAAAGAAGGAACAATTTCAACTGGAAGAGCAGTGATTTCCTCTGGGCTTATAGCAGTTGCTGAAAGAGACAGACAACCAGAGGCCACTTGGGAACACTTCATTCCCACACACTGCACAGTGTTGGTGGGGAACCCCAGTGAATGGTAAAATGTATGGAATTAGCTAATTGGGATTGTACCTCAAATACTGCCCCAAAGGCAGAGAAGAGTTTCTTGGTCACTTTGCCCTCAGATTGTGGAATCCCTTGGTGGGCAGTCCCTTTCCTCAGGCAATCCTGGGAGTGTCCTAGAACATCTGTGCTTGGAATGCCTGTCCTCTGTCAGCTCTGTGCTATTCACTTTCCCAGTTAGCCTGGTTGTTATGGGGAAAACAGCAATGGCTTCTCTTTGAGATTTTGACCCTGGGGGTCCCCTGGGTGTCACTCTGCAATGTTCCTGCTGGGTCCATCCCAGGGCTTAGGGTGCCCCCCCCCCCGAGGCCCCTCACTGTGACTCCCTGTGAGGGAAGTCTACCTCTCCTGAAAAGACTACTAAGTGCAGATAGCATTTAAAGTCTCTCCTCTCCCAAGAAAGTCTGCTCTGGAAACTTCAGGTTGTCCAGTGAGAGCTTCTTGGAACCCTTTACCCCCTAGTACCCTCTCCTCCCTGTTGCCAATTGCACTGGGGAATATGATAAAAGCCCAGAATCCCCAGCACTGACTTCTCACTAATGAGAAAATTCCTCTGCTTTCTGTATCTAGGGACTGACCCTCCTGAGACACAAATCCTCTTTGTGTCCAGCTTATCTCCAGCTGCTGCCATGATAAATAGTCCAGCTCAAGGGAGTCTGGGGAAGCTGCACTCCATGAAACTTGGTTATTAACACAGCCAGGGAAGCGAGCTTAAGGATCAACTCAGCACACACTAGGCTACACTCTCTCTCATGGGAGTTGCCTGAGGAATCTGTCAGTTTATATAGTGCAGGAAACATGACCAGTGTTTTCCTTTACAATAGATTTTTTTTAATCCCAAAACAAAGAGCAACCCCCAACAAACTGCAACTTGTTTTAATTAAAAAAATTTTTTTGTACTGCTTTTAACTAGTTGGCTGTTTCTAGTGCCATCTGCTTAGCTGCCCTTTTCCTTAAATCATCCCCCGTGTTTACTACCTTACCTTTTTCAGCCTTGTGTTTATTATGTAACTCCAATTGGCTTGGTCTGATGTTCAAGCATATCCTGGTATTCAGTCTGCTTCATGGTTTTAGGAGTGGTTTGGGTTGGTCCAGGCTACCATGAGACAGTGAAGGGAGCAGCCTGTCCTTAGAGATGGACAGAAGGAGCTTCAGTGGCCCTGGGAAGGCTGGGAGGTTCAGCAAAGTGGACAGGTCCTCTCTGTATCCTGAGCCTGCAGAGGACAGACCTGCTTGCTAGACAGGAAAGCCCAGAGCACACTTGGACTGCCTGTCTTGTATCACCTTCCTGGCCAGCTCCTGGAAGCCTGTTCCAATCAACCTTCCTTGCTTCATTTCAATCCTGGGTCATCTGCATCAAGAACAGTCAGCAGACCTTAAATCCTCTTTGGACCTGGTGCAGAAGTGACATTTCTAGGCGCTGGGTCTTCTGGAGAGGTTGCATCAGCCATCTGGGGAGTGAAATAACAGCTCAAAAGTGAGGCTAGGGTCTGCAGTGCTGTTTACACCTGGCCCCCAGTCAGCGACTCTGCAGGCAGTTTATCTTGTGACCAGCAGGGGCAGTCTTGCTGTGAAGCCCATGGGCAGCGTTAGACAGGTTCTCAGCCCTCTAGAGCATGCTCAGCCCAGCCTCAGCCTACCTTGGCAGCTTCACATTCTGCTTCACCTCCTTCTGCTGCAGGAGGCGAGGACTCGCAACTGCCCAGAACTGCTTCCAGACCTTTGTTCTGGTGGACAGTCTACCTAGGCCACACTTCTACCTTCTGTTCTCTTTCCCCTGACTTTACCACGCTGTGTTAACTCATCAAATTTCAGCCTAGGCATCCCTTCTTCCAAGATTCCTTCCCTGACCCAAGCTCCACACTGCCTCTGCTCTCCTGTAGGAGCATCCTACACATTCCTCCACCTTGGCACTTACCATGTGGCACCATAAGTAGCCGACCCTCATTCTCCCCCACAGTCTCTGGGCAGCTCTGGGCCAGGGGCCATACCTTCCACATTGCTGACTGCCCCCTTCACAGCAGTGTCTAGCAAGTCACAGGAGTGTGTAAACATGTGCGTGAACTGAGCTGAACTTAAAGAAGTTAAGGTTTAATTTTTGTGTGTAGAGCAGGCAAGACTGGGCTCACTAGGGTCTGTAGACCAGAGCTATCTCCTTCAGCCTGTCTTTCTTGGGGCCTCTACCACAGGCAGCTTCAGTATCTGATCACTAACTGCACAAAGAAGGGCTAAGGGAAACCATTTTCAAAATGGAAAATGATTAATGGACTGATGCATAGCTAGCTCATTTATCTCCAGCCAGAGCCTTCATTAATTCTGCTCCCTGAACAGGTGCCACCTAGCCACACAGATGGCAAAAGCAGGGACATATGTCCAGTGGAATGCAAGAAGAGTTGCACTTCAATACCAGGCACCTGCTTATCCCTGGTAGCTGCTTACAATGTTCTGAGTTCCAGTTCTTAACATGGTACTTTACTGTTTGAGGCATTGCATTAATTGGTCCTATTGTATCTGTAAATCTCCTATATACTCCAGGAACTGTTCTAATCAATTTGTATACCTCATTTCTTGTTTTTCTCAGTAACCTTGCAAGGAGATCTTTATAAGCCTGTTTTTTCAGATACAGGTACTGTTTTCCTGTGTTTAAACAGATGCATTAATCCTTATATCTTGGGGGTGGGTGTTTTAGTCCCATTTTTGAGGGGGCTTATGACTAGACTAGTAAGAAGCAGAACTAGCCTGGAAGGCCTAGGCTTTCAGACCTGAGGAACAGTCAGCCACCTGCCCTCAAATCCACAGTTCTCAATTTCCATCACAGTAGTCTGATAAAGAATTTCAGGAAATATTCATGGCTTATAAACATCTTTCTGGGTTTCATCTTCTTTCAGGGTAAATGTAACTTCCTTGAACTCAGAATATTCATGTGAAATGGAAATGTAAAGACCCATTCCCTGGCCCCCTTGTTTGATGAGGAAATCACAATGGCTCTAGTCTTTCGATTATTAACCTATGCCAGTGTCCTCTCAGGGAGTCACCACAATAACCCTATGCAGGAAGTCATTATCCTCCCTTTAGAGATGTGTCTGACCAAAGGTTTAGAGATTTTAAGGAGTTTTCCAATAGTCATGTTCCCAGTAAGTGAGAGAGCTGACAATAGTGCCTCTGGGAAACGTACATTCTTAAGGGTTTGGATAAGTCATCTACTCCAAATTGCAAGAATTTCCTCCTGAAAGGTGTGGCAGGAGGATTTTTATCCCAAGCTCAGAGAAGCCTGGCTCAAACCCGAATCCTGCTAGTGACACTGGAGATTAAGCTTCAGTTGGGAGGTGAGTACTGTTTGGAAAACACCTGACAAAAGAGTCTCTCTGGTTTTATAGCTACCATGGTTACTCAGGAGTGCTTTTAAAAAAAATACTAACAGTGATACTGGTTTCTTGATGACTGTCTGATCTCTTGTGGTTGGATTTAGGTATTGCAGTTTCTGGTCACCTGCAAAAGAAAAATTTTCATGACAAAAGATAACATGAATTTATTAGATAAATACTACCTCCCTTTTAAAGAGGCTTGTATTTTTCCTAAGATCATTCACCAAATAGTAAGTGGAGAAGGAAATAAAGAGATGATACCTTGTAACAAGGAATTCCAGATGGAGGAGAAAGTAAAAGAGGGGGAAAATCTTTGAGAAAAGAACAAGAATTCTTCAAAAGTAAAGAAAGATTGAAGTCCTGAGAATGAATGGTGTAGAGTTTCAAAAAGAATAGAGAAGGAAAAATTCACAGAACCATTACAGTGAAATTTAAGATTATAAGGCTGGACCATCTTTTCATAAAATTTTCAGGAAAAAAAGATCAGCTACGGAGAACCCAGTTGTCATTAGGCATCTCAATAAGAAACCCACACACAAATGATAGAGCCCCAAACTTGTTTATAGTGTTGAAGGAAGACAACTGTAAGCCAACAACTTTTTATTTAGTCCCACTATCATTTAAATGAGTCTAAAGATACTATAAGACAGCACGACTGCAAAAGGCTACTACTCAAAGCCCAGCTTTAATAAGAACACTGCATATTTGAAAGAACACAAAATCTTCTTACAGTAAATGTTCCAGAGAGAAGAAAAATAAAGTCAGGAGAATGCCACATGCTTTGATATATATAAGAAGCAAGAATGGCTAGTTGGCTCACAAGCTTACTGTGATTTAAATGATAAAGGATCCAAAAGGAATAGACAATCATAATTAAATTTTTAGATATCACAAAATCAAGAGAGATTTGTGATTAACAGAAAGAAAACGAAAGTATGCTATGTTATAACAAATGATATATTTACAATATTATAGAGAATAAAAAATACAGGTCTTTATAAGTAGTCATCAAAATTGTTTTTTAGTAGAGCTTTCAAATGATCACAGAGAAATTTTATCTACCTGATAGATAGGAGAGAAGGGGAAAAAAAAGTACAATAAATAGAAGGCAGTAAGATGGCAGAAATAAATCCCAGTAGAACAAATTATAATAAATGGAAGTGCACAGAACTCACCAAACAAAAGGAGGAAATCATGGAAAATAAATTAGATCCAGTAATATTTTGTTTACAGAAGAGTTTTAAAATATAAAAATATTTGAAAATGAAGGGATGGAAAATACAGGAAACTATAAATGAAATCAGATGAGTAATTTCAATATGATATGAAATAGAAAAAAATAACAAAAAAGAGATGCTGCATAAGAACAAAAGAAACAGATCAAGATGAAAATATAATAAGAACCAAGATACATCATGTACAGGTACAAGCACCCAATGATAAATGTAAATGTATTGTATACCTAAAATGTACCAATAAAAGAATTTAAGCAAAACAAAAATCATAAAAATATATATACAATGTAAAAAATGCAACTTCAAGACAATTTAATTAAGAATAGTAGAATGATAAAGACAAATCAATATCACAACTTATGGAATCAGAAAACTAAGTTCTGTTACATAGTGGGTTAACACATGAGATTTATTTCTCTTCAACTCAGATTAAATAGGTGGAAAATAAGTAAATTTATGAAAATATTTATTTTATATCATCTATAATCTTGAATACATCACCCAAGGAGGTGAAGATCTTGAGCTTTAACAATTCACAGACTGTTTCACACATATCAGGTTCAAGAAAGGAAAGAAGCCTCCAAAGGTGAAGTAAAATGATTATCTAAGCTGGGCATTTAGCTCACTGGGACCACACCTGCCTCGCAAATGCAAGGTCCTGAGTTTGATCCCTGGTACCAAATTGTTATCTAATTTTAATGTAATTTAGTTTGAAAATTGTCCTAAAATGAGAACTAAAAACATGTATTTGAAGATAACTACAGCTACAAAACAGTCCTTTGGTGGAAGAGAAAATTGACACAGAAGCTAAAACACTACCTCAACAACAGATCCTATTAAAATTTGTAGGGTAGAGGTAATGTAGCACTTTGAGCTAAATGCATTGCTTTAAAAGTATTATTAGAAAACAATAAATATTGAAAACAATTCATATTAGGCCCCCAAATGAGTGAAATGGAGAATACCATTCTAAAATCAATAACAAAGAAATGATTAACAAACCAAAAGCTGGCCCTGACAGGACTAATAAAGTTGATTAATAAAAGACTAAACTAAAAATGAGGTGTACAGTAAAGAAGGAGATATTATAGTCACAACAGGAGCGTTAAAATAATAAAAATATGGTGAATCAGCCTGCTGCAGACAGGCAGGTTTGCCCACGCCCTACTGAGGTCCCCAGTCGCATGGAATATGATGAATCAGCCCGCTGCACACAGGAAGGTCTGTGCCTGCCCTACCGAGGTCCTGAGTCATGCAGAAGACACCGAATCACCCCGCTGCAGACAGGCAGCCACCTGGTTCCACACTACAAAGACGCAGAGGACACCAGACCACCAGACCAAGGTACTGAGTCCCAATGTTCCCGGCCCAGAAATAGGGGCTTCTGAGCCATCGTCCCACTGCTCCTGGTCCAGAGGAAGGGGCTTCCTGGTCACCATCCCTCCCACTGTTTCCAGCCCAGAGGAAAGGGCTTTTGGGCCACCTTCTGTCCCACTGCTCCCGGCCCAGAGGGAGGGGCTTCCAGGCCACCATCCCTCCCACAGCTCCCGGCCCAGAGGTAGGGGCTTCTGACCTGCCATCCCACTGCTCCTGGTCCAGAGGAAGGAGCTTCCTGGCCACCACCCCTCCTGCTGCTCCCAGCCCACAGGAAAGGGCTTTTGGGTCACCATCCCTACCGCTGCTCCTGGGCCCTGTCCCACCTCACCCAGCTCAGAGGAGGTAATCTGTGCAGGCGCTAACAAGCCCCCGCCCCAGTCAAAATGAGAAAACACATAAATAAGTCTCAAAACCAGACTTCTAGATCACCTACAGCAACCCCAAAGGGAAATGAGATGGAACACTCTGATACTC